CCTTACCACCTCTTTGTAAACAACAAAAACGGGAATTCGTGAAAAACGGTGACATGAGCATGTGTATTACATGTGGAAGCCTATTACTGTGTTAGTGAAATCGCCAACTACTGGCCTGGCATGCAAAATACAGCCTTTTTAGTCATTTTCACAGATCCATGTGAACGGAGATTGTTTCGACAGCATTTTTCACAACACTAGGGGAATATGTAGAATATGGTCATGCAGAATAAGCCATTAATATGTGCTTTATAAGTATTACTAAACAGCCAATATCCTAGTAATATACAACTACTTCATAGTGACAATTGGACCCTAAACTAAAGTGTTACCATATATACATATATATATATAAAAGAAAACTCATGGGGATTTCGAATATTGTTATGGACAATGGTGAGGATTGGAGTCAAAAAGGTAGAGAACTACTGCTCTAAACTGTTCTGCCCATTAGAGGCAAAATTCCCAATTTCATAATGCCCAGTTTTAACAGAAGAGATGGTTTATGTGGGTGAGCTGAATGGTGACTGTGTCCTTGGTACCTTTAACAAAATCACTGGCCGAAGATAAACTCTTGCAATTCCAGCGTCATGCTGTCACCCAGCAGGCGAGCATCACGTGGTGGGGATTACAGATGTGGAAATCAAACTAAACGTCTAAGTATGTGATTACTAGAGCCCCTATAAAGACGAACAGCCGCAATGTGTGGAAAGCTCAGGTCTCTTAACCGTGTTAACCTCTCCAATCTACAGTCCAAAATTCCGTTTTGGAGCACACACACACACACAAGCTCATCCCTTCAAGCTGCCTCCACTGTGAATCTCCGTTGGGGTGCTGACAATCCCATGACCCAGTTTCTCAGCTCAAATCCTATGGAGGAAGACACTCCAGAGCTCCTCACAGCGAGATTACCGTTACAAAGAGCTCATTTCTGCCATTCCTGCCCCAATGAAAAGCACTCCATTCAGCCACACTGTGTGAGCTTAGCGCTGTAGAAAATACGCCTCAGGAAACAGAAGAGAGTGCCCATCTTCAACTGGCATGCTAACAAGTCGAGGGGCCATCGGGTTAGACCTTGTGGCAGACCCAAACTCAGAGTCTGGTGTGCACCACCAAGCCACTCGAAAACCATTTACATCCAACAACAGGGCTGTGATTGTAATCCGAAGTGCTCTATGCTGAGAGATACGATAAGAATGAACAGCCATGGTAAAAAGACTTGATACAAGAGGGTTTATTATCAGAGTTTACAACACACATTCACAGTATAAAAGGTTAAGAGAGGATATAGAAACGGGAAAAAAGGACGGCGATGTGGGGGGGTGGGGGGGTTCTGTTGGAGATCGTTCGAGAGCTGCCACAATAAGACGAAAGGAAAAGAATAGAACAGAAATATATAAGAGGCAGTTCACTGAGCCGAGGTTGTGGGAGAAGACGTCCATCACTTTCTATTTTTTTACTCTCTTCTATCACGGCGTTGTGTGCCAACAGTAAACGGTGAGTGGGATAAACTGAGGCGCTGTTGGCAGATTTACAGAGAATCCAAAAGACAAAATGTGACAGGAGAGAGAAAAAAAGGAAAAAGAAAGGGGGGGTATAAAAAAGGACAGAATAGAAAAATAAAAGGAACAAGAGACAAGAAAGAAAAAGATAAAGAAAGAGGAAAGGATAATAAACAGAGTAATTTCAAGAGGGTCCTCACGCAGTTCGTTCTTGGGGGGGGGGGGGGGGGGTAAAACTTCTGTCCTTCTACTAATGCTGTTGTTCAGTGAATATAAAAGCCTTCGCAGCATGAAAAGTGGAGAAAGCCAGCGTCAGCAAGCACTTCCAGAACCCACAGCAAGACCGCAAGGTGAAAACAGACCACGAGCTGTTTCACTTTGTGTCATTTCGCATGGCAATGCCCTGTTTCTCATGGAGCTGTCTGAGCCAGAGAGCAATGAATGTTTTGTCAGCTGACCGGGCTCGTATGAATGAACCGATTTCTTATTGCAGTTAGAGTAAATCTTTTATTTTGAGGTTATTTTTGAGTTACAGCCCAGTCTCCATCACTCACAGTAATGAATAGCTGTTAAAATGTTAACCTTTTTCCAGTGCTGCTGAATCTTTCTTGCAGCACTCATCTGTGCCACAAGAAATTATATTTTTCCTGAGTGAGTTTAAAATGGTGTAACCTGAATTGAAGGTAATGAGATAAACTGAGTCGTGTGACAGAGGGCCCTATTTTAACGATATACAGTAAAACGCAAGTAACTTTGTTGGCGGAACTCAGAGCTGTTGCTATTTAACCAGCGGGATAAATGACTCTTGCGAATCTAAAAGGGGTTGGTCTGAAGTAGCTTCATTATTGATAGGTGTGGTTTGGGCGTAACGGATAACAAACCAATAAGAGCGTCATATCACATTCCCTTTAAGAGCATGATGAACGAGGTGCACTTGTTCCACTGCGCAATACTATTATAACATTTGCCAGGTGCGCTTCACAATCGGTTCACAGGCAAGTAGATCGATGTTCTCGTCAGGGCCGTAAAAGAAAGACAAGTGACATTGGGGATGGGACAAACCCACCCAAATTGGCTTCGTTTAAACATGCATAAAATAATTTGGGTAAATGTGTAAGCTTTATGCCTATTTTTCCCACTGTCGTGGACACAACTAGTCTGGGAAAACCCAGACAACTTCCGGCCAATTTAGATTTGCTCTGAAAGTTAGTCTGACAAAGAGCTCATTCAAGCCCATTTCCAATCCGTCGAAATCGTGGCACCAATCAGAAACGTTGGCGCGGGCTTTACACAATGACGACAGCGCTGGGAATTTGAAGCAGATTTTGTAGCCTACATTACAAAGATGAATGCCGCCGTCGAACATCACTTGTTCGAATCAGCTATCGCGTTTGTTTTAAGCAATTTGAATGTGTCCTTTTATGTTAAAAACCGAGCAAAGAACAACACTCGGAGATGTTTCTCTGCCGACCGCCGCTCTGCATACATTATCTCCTTCGTCACTCTGATTGGTTATAGGTCTACCCGCGAATCACCCGTTGGTGATGCTGCCCCTCTGGAAATGATTTGTCTATGACGCTTGCCAGACTATAACTGAGAATGGTCTGGTTTAACCAGGCTAAGACACAACGATTTCCGTCGTGATTTAATATATTTTTCCTTATAATAATGTATCATTTGCAAAAAGTAAAATGCATCTGTGTAGATGAGAGAATCATCTACAGTGTATGCGCGTTGTTCACACTCTGTATTATGGCCAAGCATGCATGCTTAAAATAGTATCTGAATATACACGTAACGCTCCACTGACTTTAGACTAGGTTTTTTCTGGTCAGTGGCACAATTGTTTTCTGGAACTGCAAAATTGGTGAAAATGCACTAGGGATTATTTGCACCGGAACACACCTCCTTTTTTGCGCTGAACCACCCAGGGAGCGCAAGTTCATTCCCTGGTTTGCCAGCATGTGTCTGTGGAGGGATAAGTCCACTTTGCATGGGTGCAAAATATAAATGATACATGCATCAGTGTACAAAGTCAATTGCGCTTGGTGCAAGATAGGGCCCATAATATTAAGACAATTAATAGCCCTTTATACCACCCTGATTCTGTCTAGCAATAGCAAAAATAAACAAATTTCAATAGGGTCCTCGCACCATAGGTGCTCGGGCCCTAATTAACAGATCCAGTCATTGAAGTGAGCTGTAAGACTCTATTAGCTATGGTCCAAACCAAAGAGCACTGAATTGGTTGTGATGGATTTCCCACCCCCATCTCTCTAGCCTACTTTCTAGTCTCTAAAAAGTTCTTTGTAACCCTGTCCAGACCCCCTCCTTCCTGATCTACACTTTCACCCACAAGAAAACAGTCCAGAATGGCTAAATGAATATTTAAAAGCTGCAGCCTTCTCAGTCCTGGGGTTATGTACAGGCAAGCTCCTCTAACGTGGGCTGGGGAGTGACATGTCTTTGAATAACCAAAGGGGAAGAGAGAAACAAAAGCAAAAAATAAACAATTACAGTGTAGCCCTCGTCTTGGCTAGAAAACAGGCTACATTAATAAAGCCATTAGTGCCTTCTGAGATTAAACGAGCAGTGTAAAGACCTGAGTCTAACCCTGTTTCCATGAACGTGGTAATAAAGTGTGCGGTCTACTTCAATCTCAAGTGGGATAACTTAATTTATCAGGTTTTATTTAGAATTTTCTATTTATAATGGATCTTTTGTTTAGAACTATGAAAGAGACCAAAGTGCAAAACACTACCAGAAGGATGGATAGTTTTTGATTGAGGTATGTGGTTTACACAAAAGGTTATTGCTTAATAAACAATTATATTTCTTTCTATACAGTTAACATCTAGCTGCATTCCTACATCTATAACTCAACTATATCCATTTACCTTCTCATCTTTCCACCCATATCTATCCATCTATCTACCTATCTATATCTATCCATCTACCCATCTGTATCTGTAGCTCAACTAAAGGATCTGGCCCATGCTGTCATATTTCAATATTAATCAAACAATAATCCTTCTTAGATCTCTTCCAAACATCAGATTGCTCTTAGAAGTAAGACATAACCTTCAACCCCATCTGCTACAGTTTTGGGGTCAAAAATTTGGGTCAAATATGGACAAACCCAAATGTTGGGTTAAAAATGTAATTTAAAATTTTAACCCAACTTCAACTTTCACTTTCAACTGTAAATTTTGGGTTTGTCCATAACTGACCCAAATTTGGGTTGAAACAATCCAGCATTTTTTAGAGTGTAACTGTGTATCCTCAAGTTTCTTTTCCACAACCAATAACTAACACAGCAGGACAGCTGAGATAACATATGAAGAACCTCTGAACATGCTTGCCATTTAAAGCCACTATTGTGGTCAAAATATTTGTCTCAAAGAGAATTGTTTCCAAGAGCATGTTTACTCAGTTAGCCAAAAGAATGGGATATATTCTAATACCATCATTTGAGACAGTAAGAGAAATAATACTTACGTTGGCAGTGTCCATCCACCTCCTCGAAGCCTGGCCGGCACACACAACGGCCGATGGGCACCAGCCAACCTCCGTCAGCACTGCAAAACATCCGTGGTCCCTCCAGCTCTTCCGCATCCTCCACACAAGTGCCACGCACTTCCACCAGCGCCGAATCGCCGCCCGTCACCGTGTCCGGGAACCTGGCCAGATTGAGCACCGCCAGCGGACATCGCTTATAAAAGACTCTCACCGACACCAAAGCAATGCAAGCCCCTAGGTCCTGAAACGCCAGGTACAAGCCTCTCTTACTGAGACCACTGATGTCTCGCACTTCCGTATTCAGCTTCATGACACGATCTCCAACGTCCGTCTGCGTGAAGCTCTCGTCGGCCGCTATAGTGTCGATCTTCACATACTGGCTCTCACGAATGTGCCGCAAAGGAGCTGCGACTGCATTGTTGGATTCATGGAAGTACACGTTAAACGTCTCCTTACAGGTTCCAGGGACGCCCGGCAGGCTGTTGCAATCACGCAGAGTGAATTTGATCTCCACATAGACACGTTGAGCGCCCTCTCGCTGGATCAGTCCAGTGCGCAACCAGTTGTTCTGACTGGCTTCCATTACATTGCACACCTGGTACGTCCTCATAGGTATGTTCCTCTCGTCCATAACACTGATCTCCTCCCACTAACAAACAGACCAAAAGTTGATCAATTCAAAAAGACAGACATCCTTTAATGCTTTGGTAATTGTCCTGTGTATTTTGGCTCTGGACTCTTTAAGCTCTTACAGTGGGTTCTGAAAGATTTTGACGGATGCATGAAGGGCACATTACGAGAAAACTTTCGTCAAGAGGAACAGGCAATCAGCTCAAAGTTACAAACTAAGTAGTCTCAGTTGTTTCGTTCGTGCATAATTCAACTCATTGCTGATGCAGACAAAATAATATAATTGTGCCTTGGAAACTTCAATTCTAAATCCGTAAAAATCAACAAACGAAAAAAACCATGAAAAATAACATGGTTTGTTGGTTTGGCATTGACGTCAGTAAGTTTGTGGGTTAAAAATAATGGCACGAGAAGCAGCAACGTTCAAACTGCCTTAATGTTTTTAACGCAACACAAATCTTTCATTGCAGAATTGTTGTATGCATACTGCTGAAAATGCCAAACCTTGAACTCTTTAGCAACTCTTTATCCCCCTGCTTTATCAGCAGCACACAAAAACATAATGTATTTTTCTTTACAGGCACTCATGAATCGGAGCGTGACTACTTGTGCCAAGGCCACTATTACAATCCATCTTCATCTTGTGAAAATGGATTTGAATGAATGACACGAAAGCGTGGGATACGAACCAGCTCCCACAGAGGAGATCGTTACTCAGAGGGGAGGCAAGGTTGTTCAAAACGAGATACTCTCCTATGACCACCCACAGGAAACTCTAAAGAGTCACAGGCTGTGTTTTCACAGAGGGGAGCAGTGGACCATTCAGGGTCGAGAAGATCAAGCACTACACTTTAAATCCGGGGTATAACAGCACTAGTTGGGGATGAAGTGGCAATTGAAAATTTGGGCTGGTAATCGAAAGGTTTTAGGTTCAAAATACCCCTACAAGGGAAAATCATTAGATGTTACCAAGATTGTGAGCCATTCAAAATTCAAATCAATCAATTACTGAATTTGAAATGAGGTAGCGACTTGAATTTAGATGAAGGATTATTAAAAGGAGCTGTGCAGACTTTCACAGGTACTCACCCCCTCTGATGGATACGCTTCCCAACCCAGATCACCTGGGGCGGACATAGAGTCGAGCAGAGTAACTGTAAAAGAATAGAGATATAGAGTTATTTAAAGCCATAATGCTAGTATAATTATCACAGAACCACATTTATCATTTGTTCAGATTTTTTTGCAAACAACAGTGGGGCCTTTGCACAGCATGATGCCATGTAAAGCATGAATCTTTCAAGTCTGCAGTCTTTCTGAATAACATAATAGAGCTCTAGAAATGTCAGAACCACTTATAACAGCCTAATCAACACTTTGCATTTGAGGTTATTCCTTCTAGTATTATTCATATGGCCAAGGGATAGTGGATTTATTTTATTGACCTAAACCTCAACAACTTCTAAGATACATCCCAATAATCCAGTCAGGTGGCGTTACATCAGTTGTGACCATTACGAAACGCGATTCGCAGCTCCTTACGCAGTCTTTTTGAAATCTTTTCTCACATCAATATTTTCAGAGGTTGATGGTGCTATTTATAACAGTCTTTCAATCTCCCAATGGTCGGAGCCCTGAACTTCCCACTTTGAGCTCCGTTCCAAACCAATTACATCCCTGGCAACCAGGGTGATTAATTCTTAATCACATCCAAACCTCAGATGTTCCTCTTCTTTCACGCTGAATATCCACCTCTCCCGCGTCTTGGCGCATGTGTGTGTGCCCTTTCGTGACGATTTTCAAAAAAAAAATGAAGAAGGAAAATAGGAAAATCAAAGACCATCTGGATCCCAATTTTAATTAAAACTGACTGCCAATGGGTTTGTGTGACATGCAAACAGTGTGCATTTTTAAATCGCGCTTTGATGGTTGGTTGATGTGGAAACAGGGATTATGTCTGGTTTTATGGGTCGTATAGAGCAATTGGGCAAATTTGATGACTTGACACTCGAAGAGAAAACCATACGCAGAGTCAAAGCAGGATATTACTTCTTAACTGAATACAGATTACGATGCCATTAACCGCTGGTGCTCGTGTGGCTGTTTTCTGAATGATGAAGGGGTAAAACCAGACAGGCCAATAAATCAGTCCAAACGATCTGGAAATCATTCTGCTCTGCCTTTTAAAGACAAGTTTAATAAAACAAACAAATGAATACAGCCACAGGCCTTGCACAGCCCAATAATACAAGCAGCAGGCAAACATTTAACTCACAGCAAGGCAACATTTCTTCCACCTGAGACATCAGTTCTGGCTCAAAAAGAGCAATTCTTTAAAACAACTGCCGCACAGGCCTTGATTAAAAGACTTGCGTGTTGTGTTTTTGGACACCAGGCTGCTTAATCACAAACGACTGATCGGCGCAAACGTCTAAACCAGCAAGATGGAGCAAGTTGACTCTTGAAC